GCGATTACGGGATATACTGTGGACAGTTCAGTGTTCCAATATATTAATATTCATGTTTGGAATTTAAAAATAAAATACTTGGCCAGGATACTAATGGCGCTTTGAAAATCGCATTGCGATTATGTATTATCGCGTTGCGAAAGTCAGTATCGCGTTGCGAAAGTAAGTATCTCGTTGCGATTTTTTATTATCGCATTGCGATAGTCAGTATCGCATTGCGATTTTCCCAATTCGCGTTGCGATTTACTTATTCGCATTGCGATTTTCCCAATTCGCGTTGCGATTTACTTATTCGCATTGCGAATTGGGAAAATCGCAACGATACTGTAGACCATCGCAACGCGATTTTCAACTATCGCATTGCGGAAATGCAACGCGAATTTGCGATAATGGAGATCACGTTGCGAATTAGCGATCGCATTGCGATTTTGTTGGTCATTTTGGCAAATCCGGAAAAAGTTGGTTAAAATCGTATATTATATGGGATTTTTGGTCACTGAGGTTATTTTCTCTTCCATTTATAGCTTCAACAATAAATTTTAGGGTAAAGTACATAAATGGTCCTACAATTATAGAATACTATTTTGTTGAGTCTCTCGACTATTAAAAGTTACAAAATGGTCACCCACTATCCATTATTTCAAACTCGTCCTTTTTCGTTGAAAGACTAACGATAGTCTAAGCTGGATGATAACCTATTAATTGAGATATGATAAAAATCTAATCTCATAATCTCAAACGACTATCATATCGAAGTCAACATGTTAATGTCCAGCTCAAACTACCGTTAATCTTTTAACATAAAAGGATGAGTTTGAAACATAATTAATAGTCGGGTGACCATTTTGTAATTTTGAATAGTTGAGGGACTCAACAAAGTAAATTCCTATAGTTGGGGATCATTTTTTAACTTTTAATAGTCGGAGGACTCAACAAAACAATATCATATAATTGGAAGACCATTTATGTACTTTACCCTAAGCGTTTAGTTGGATGGAATCCCTTGGAATTGGGGGGAATTGGAATCCAATTCCACCATTTTTCCCATGTTTGGTTCAAGTTTTCCAAGGGAATTTGAATCCCTCATGGCTTTAACTTTCCATCAAATGAGGGAAAGATAATTTCATCCAAAAATGGATGGAATTCAATTCCCTTGTTGGGAGGAATTAAAATTTGACCATATTACCCTCATCAATATTTTGGTAACTTATTCATATATTAAATAAAAATATTTTTTTATTATTTTGGGTCGGGTTTCTAATTCATATATTCGGGTCGGTTTTTTAAGTGTGATATTCGGGTCGGGTCGAGTTCGAGTTTAGGGTGAAAAATACCCGATCCGAAAATATATATAATTTTGCCTTATATATTTAGGAATAATTACAATAATACCCCTCTATATTTTTTTTTCAATTAAGTCACTGTTTTTATTGAATAAAAATATTTTTTTATTATTTCGGGTCGGATTTCTAATTCATATATTCGGGTCGGGTCGGGTGAAACTTTATTTTGTTCGGGTCGGGTCGGGTTCTGGTTTAGGGTGAAAAAACGGGACCGACCCAAAAAAAATATAATTTTACCTTATATATTTAGGAATAATTACAATAATACCCCTCTATATATAATTTTTTTCAATTAAATCAATATTTTTATTGAATAAAAATATTTTTTTTATTATTTTGTGTCGTGTCGGGTCGGGTTTCTAATTCATATATTGAATAAAAATAGTTTTTGGTATATTTTTTGGTAACTAATTAACATACTCCGATTGTAATGTATCGAAATATTGCTCTATCTTTTGGTAACTTATTAACATTTTTTGATTGCGATGATTTTAACTTATGATGTTTGTTAGCATGATTTTTATAATTTATTGAAATGAATAATAAATCAATAAAATGAAAATTTAATATTTTTTAATTTTTTATAATATATTACTACATGTAAGTTGTAAAACAAACTAAAATAAAGCAAAAAAAATAAGAAGGACAATTATGTCATTTTACATTACTGAAATCAAATTCATTTGACATGTCTGCCAACCAAACAGAATATGAAATTAGATTTCAATTCCTGACAGATTTCAATTCCTTCACAGATTCCAATTCATTCACAGATTCCAATTTCCTCATAAACATTCCAGCGAACCAAACGCCACATCCTGTGGGGGAATCGAAGCATTTAACACTCGAATCTGGATCAAGAATGGTATTTAATTCAATATGGTCCCCGTTGTTTTTATCATTTCCTGACAAACATCTATACATCTTTTGTATCTACCAAATTTTGAATCAATGCTTTTATATAATTAAAAACAGTACGTCTCAAAGCTTTTACAGTTTGGTGAAGTTATTAATGATATGTTGCAATATATAAGCATCAAATGAAAAGGTAGATTAAATAGGGGAAGAAACCGTACCGAATGCTGGAGGATTACCGATCCAATCCATGTGCATTTCATTTGCATTTACGGCAATGAAAACATTTGATCCAAGCTCATTGTTAACTCCGTTGAGCATTGCAACAAGCTGTGGATTGAATAAGGCCTCGGCTTGTTGCAGCTCAACCGCACATTCACCGGCTCTGCTGTGTTGAGCCAGTTCTGCTGGGACGCACCCCAATGGTCCAGTCCCGGTCACCAAAACCCTTCTTGCCCCCAACTCATGTAGCCTCTGCAAAGTAAAATATAGTATATTAGGTTTCGTAATCATGTCGTTTTAATATATATAGGGTTAGGATCCATTTATATAACGTAAACATCCATAAGTCACGCATTTTTTAATATCGAAAAAAGTAAGCCTTGGCTTTAATTTTAGTCAGCCAAAAAAGCATCAAAATTCATGTTGGCCTCACCAACCAATCCAAACTTGATAAATTACAGTAATTCACCCTCTTCTCTTTCTAGACTCCATGAAAGCTGGAACAATGGAACTTGTGGTATACTCAATATATATTATTCGTAGTACTTTAATTGGTGATCACATTGTGGCATTTTATCAAACTGTACCAATGCCGGTTAGAAATGGTAGTTGAGAACAATAAAGATGGAAGGAGAGCAAATGGAAAGCAAGTTTACCATTAGAATTTTCCGGTACTCGGAAATTATATAGACGACATAATCGGGGAGCGCGAATTGCCGTGATCGTGCCGAGAAGGGAACCAAATAATAGTTGTTTACGAAGTCATTGCCACCAAGGGTCATTAGAACCAGTGCTTGGTTCACTAGGCGTTGAGCTTGTTGAGGTCCAATAAGTGCACTTACTCGCTCCTGATATTGCCTAAAGTACTCTAATTGCTGCTGGATTCTGATTATATTGACCTACAAAATGTACCACTATTTTAGGACATTCCCAAAATAAATGAAAACTCAATTCGAGTTTAGTCCGGTTCTGATTCCGGCACTATTTCCTTTGTAAAAGAAAATCAGACTTACAAATCGAACTCCGGTGTCGTTGAGAATCCCGATTCCGGCAGAAGCAAAGTTGGCACCAATAAGAAGCCTTTGTCCAGTGAGCTCCGGGATCAGATACGGCAATGTTGGTTCAGAGCCGATGTGCTCACCTAGATAACACATGAAAAACATTAAAAACAGCAGATAGAACCATGTTTCACTTCAGACAGACAGAAAAACATGTATAAAATGACTAAAAGAACGTACTAATAAGATCTGGGATGTTAAGGCCATTAGAGAACCGGCCGCTAGCTCTATGAGTCGGATAATCAATACCATAGGGGTAAGCATCGGCTCGAGCTGTAGTAGCTAGATAGTTATTGTTAACGTTATCAACTAATGAATCTCCGAACACGAAAAATGCCCTCGCAGCCTCTGCTTGATCACTTACATTTCATAATGTAAATACCATACCAAAAATCATAACAAAGAAGAACGAATTATCCATTGTAAATGGCTCTAAGATACCCTTAAACTGTGAAAGGGTATACAGCACCGTTGCCTACATATAAGCTTTTTGCTTATATGTTGTTTCCATTAATGCATTTGGCTACCTCTTTAGGAGTTAGCTAAGATGACAGCTGCCCTAACATAAATGCCAGGTTAGACGGGACCAAGGGCTTGAACTTTTTGGTCTGTTTGAACCCACTACCTTGACTGTATTGATGATGTAATATTATTTTGAGTTAATTGCATCATATATCCAAAAACTATAATTCCTATTTTAAATTATTTATTAAACTTTTGAATATTTTAATTTCATTCTTAAACTATCATTCTCATTTTAAATTAGTTCTTAAACTTTTGAACATTCTAATTTCATCCCTAAACTATGAACCTCTTTTTAAATTGGTCCCAAAACTTTTTTTATTTGGGAAGGGCAATGACTTAATTGTAATTATTTCAAAAAAAATTAATGACCTAAAAGATATTAAATCATCAAAGTTTGAGGGGGCAATTGCCCCTCCCACCTCCCATGTAGTTTTGTCCCTGTGTTGATAGAAAATAGTCTGTCTCCTCAGTCGTTGATGGATTATTCCTTTCTAATATGGACAAAAAGTCGTAGTTAATGGAGACTCAGTCATAAGTCGAGATTGATCCTCCGACGAGAAAAGGGACCGTTCGGGACATAGCCTCAATATATCCTTATCAGATATCCTCTTCCAAATAGGGGACTCTCTCTCTCTTCCTGCTCTTTTACTTATATTGTTCATCTTCTTTTAGCTTCATTCACTCTCCTCAAATGGCTCAACACGGGCTCACAATCGAATCTTCTTTGGCTGCAACTTTTTGTTCAAATTATTTCATACAAAAAAAAATAAAATAGGTTGGAAGAAAAGCAAAGAGTCGGAGTACGATAGGTTAGGTTATATCATTTCATGCAATCTCATTGAGTTCCTTTTGTGTTTATCATACACATATTTTATATTATACAATCACAATACAAAAGAAGAAAAAAATAATAGTTCAATCAACTGAGAATGAGATGAATAATACTTGTAATTTTGTCTTTCTCCTCTTTTGTTTCAAAAAAAAAAAAGAATTCTAATCTGTTGTTGAGCATAGCTAAATGAAATGTTTGAGAGAGATGTTCAAGCAACAGATTTGCTATTATTTTCATTTACAGAGCCCAAGTGACAGATTTTGTTTTTGCCATTCCCATCGCCATTGCCTTTATTGCTTTTCTTTCCATTGCTATGTTTCTTCTTACTTCCACACGTAATGGATATCTCGAACTGGAATGCATTTCCGAAACACGAAAACAACTTGAACCCACCGCTCTTTTTGTTCCTCGACCTCCTCCCTTTCCTTGATCTTTTCCCACTCGCCGGAGGCGGGATTTCTGTCCGCCACCTCTCTAACTTCAACGATAGTTCCTCTTCCCTCTCTTTCTTTGTCCATTCCGATATCTTACTCGTTTCGTTCGTATGAGGTCGATCGTTTCCCGGTGGTTGATACAACCCTTTCGCAATGGCCGCCGCCACGATGGAAGCCGATGGACCCACGTCCGAGTTACAAAGTGACTCACCGTTCACCATGCTTCCGCCTTTAAAAGCGGAACAGCTGGAACGTGATCCATAATACCTATGGCCGTCGTATTCGTCCGATGTTAACTGGGTAAATCGGTCGCTTTGTGAACGGCTTATCTTGGCGTACGCATTTGTCTCATGATTCCTATGGCCGTCGTCCCCGTCTTCGTTTGTTGTTTCAGGTGTAAGGTATTGTAATTGAGGCATGCTCCGCATTGTACTATCAACGAGGGCAACCTCCATTTTAAGAATACCTTGAGGGCGGCCAGAGGGGCGGCGGATTTGAAGCGTGACGGTCCTCCTGGCGGAGTTATTGGTTTCGGCGTCGGCTACAGATCGCAAATGGAAAATATCATTAAACAAAACTTTAACAGATCCGACCAAAGCATCTTTAACCCACGCCGCCGCGTAAATCTCAACAACGATCTTGGCATCCTCCGAATTTAAGAACTTATCGTCGACTTTGAACGTGAACCGGTCTTTCCAAGTCGGATCGGTTCCGCCATTTTGGTCGACTCCGGTGGCGAGCTTCTCGTCCGGTTTGATCCAAACCACCGCGTAGGTCTTCATGTTTTTGGAGACCGGAGCGAGGTCTTCAGCCGAAACGAGGTTCATCTCTAGAATACGAGAATGAGTAGGAGGAGGAGCCATGGTGGGTGGATGTTGAGACGCGGCGGAGCGCCACCTCTAGCACGGCCTGAATCACCGACAGCAATTTACGCATGCATGAAAGACAAATGCATGAAAAGCTAAGAACACGGGGAATAAAATATGAGCAAGAGTTTTTAGAGCGAAATTAATGGAAGGAAAGTTTGTTAATTTCGCTTGACTTTTAGACCATGACTTTTATTTTTTATTTTTAAAAAGACTATTTATTTATTTATTTATTAATAAATCAATCAATCAATTTATTTGTTTTATTGTTAAGTAGACGATGTAAATTATTTTTTTATTAAACTGAAGTGATTATAAGGTAATATTTATTTTAAAGATTTCGAATTATTTAACAATAAATGTTTAAACATCTATGCAAACCCTAGTACTCAAACCCGGAAATTTTAGGAACAATAATGATCCATTTAACTACTGAGATAAATTAGTTTGTGCAAAAAAATATTATAATTATAATTTTGAAATAAATGAATAGAGATAATAAAGCTGAAATTATAACCCTAAAATTTATTTTTTTAAACTATCCCTAATGTTTATTTTACATTTCAATTTGGTACCTCACCGTTAAAAAATTAGCATAACTGATGACATGATAATTTTTAAATTTTTTCAATGATAACATGTCATTGTCATATGATAAAGCCGTCCCAATAATAAGTTATGCATCAACGGTTAGTTCCATCAACCAAGATAATGTGTTATTATTAAAAACTTATTGAGTCATTCGATCAAGAATGTGATAAGATGAAGTGAATTGACAATAAATAATTTAGTGGAAGCTTTTACAAAGAATAAATAAAAAATGCACAAATGATTTAGAGCTGTTCAGCTTCTTAACTAAAATCTACATACACTAATTTATTTATCCACAATAAGGATTTTTTTCAAATTCAGTAATTTGATCAACATTTGGAGACAAAGTGTATCCTTAAAACCACTTATGATTTATACCCCTCAGACTGATACGGATAGCCCGATCCGATCTGGAGTGTCACATTAGGGCCACCGGAGCCACCCACCGTAAAAATAGCGAAAAACTTAAAACTTTTCTTAAAACATGTAAAATCATAAAATAATATATTATTTTTCAGAAATAAAACTGGTTTATCAGACTCTGATATAAAAACAAAATACAATCTACATGCCTCCTAATCACATGTACCATACTCTGCAAACAACGCCGGAAGAGCTCCCTTAGTGAATTCGATAGATGCACTGGTACAATTCTTTTAACCTGCAATGGTGGGTAATAGAGTGAGCTTCGGAAAGCTCAGTAATACAGGACTACCAAATGATGCTACATGACATGCAGATAAATGGGAAGTCATAATTTCCTTATTGAATCAAACGTATACCAATTGCGGGATAATCTGCGGTTCTATTAGTAGTTCATCGAGTAGAAGCCATGAATCTTAGTTCATAAGAAGCCTTTCATACTATCACGTTTTCATGAGGTCGAATAGGATGTCTAGTGTGTTCCATCAGTATGATAAAATCATAATAGGTACACTAATCAAATGATAGTTCAGTAAATCCCATAAACCATACTGTAATGGAGCTTTTTAAACTCGTATTTTAAAACCATTGCACAAAGAGTTAACCTAAGGGAACATCTTAGGGCCTGAGAGCCTACCCAAGAAAGTTTGGGGCCACGGGGACTACCTAAAAACATATCTTAGGGCCACAGGGCCTACCTGAGAATGATCAGGGCCGCAAAGCCTACCTAAGAGTCACATTAGGTCCATAAAAATTTTCCAGCTTGATCAGAGCTGTACTTTACAAATTTGTATCTCTAAGATCCAATTTATACATTGATAAAATTCCATAAGCCATCGCTAATAAGTTAGTGCATCCATAAAATAGTAACCATAAATTTCAGTGTACCTCATGTTAAAACAATAAAACAATTTATTAAAATATAAGGAACACACTAGAGAAATCCCAATATTTATCAAAGGCATTTTGTAGTCATCAGTATGGATAACAGAAAACTTATGCAATTTGATCAGATTCGAGGAACGAGGTCCTACTGAAGAGAATCGGTTACTAATCGATCTAAACAGACATTTTTAGGTTAATGCTTTTGAATCCCACTATGTTTTCATGTGCATCCGGAATAACCAGAGTGATTTCAGTAGAAAAAGAATAAACGAATATTCAGGTAATTACCATCAATGACAATCGATCGGATTATCGAACAACTTGAGTTGAACAACTCTCAGAAGTGATGCCTGTCGACTGGTCAATTCATTGCCCTTCCTGGTATTCACTTTATAATACCAACAATTCTTGTCCATAAATTATCTTCAGAATCATCGCTAACTATACCTTAAGGAATCGAACAAGCATTCTTATAATCTTTATTTTCTTTCCACATTACAATTATATCAAGAATTGATGACGTATTCGATTCTTAGTTCATAACCATAAAGACCATACATCATACAAGTTTATTGTTTTTCCAGACTCATCCAATTACTTACTAAATTCTCCGTCATTAAGGTTCCTTGGTTCATTTAGCAATTAATGATATCCCGATTACTTCAGAGTTTTTCAGAGTAATTCAGACACTTCTGAGTTTCGGATACATGTTGCAACTTTCAGTTCACTTTGGTCATATACTAAAAAAATCATTTTGTTATTCGTGATTGATTTATCTCACGAATATCCACTTCTTAATATCGAATGTGCTCTAGCGTTGAGCAGACCTGAGTACTTCTATAATTATCATCAATCTAAACTTGAGAAGACGAACTAGCATTCAAGTGGTACCTATGCCATTCAAGTACTGATATAGCACTAGCATTGTTTGATTGGCTTAAATTGCGTTTCATAACATTAAATAGCAGTACAACATCTATGTTTATTTGAATTTCTTAATCAATCCAAGATATTTACTTAGTATAGACTATAAGGGCATTTTGGTCATTTTGGTGCTCAATGTTTTTCCATTCATTTCAAAGCTTGAGAATATCCATTCATTCATGGGCTTGGAGACATTCTTGAGTTATTTCATTCCAGGAGTATTTTGGTCATTTTACAAATTCAGTATTTTTCAGTCCTTTCCTTCCGTATGTTCTTATTATTAAATTCAAACTTATCATTTATTTCAGACATTTCAAACAATTCTGACAAAAGAACACCCCCGATAAATTTTTCTTCAGGTATTTACTCATAACTCGGATATTTTCAGGTAAAGTGCTTTCTCAAATTTTACAAACAAAATATCAGGAATTTTTTCTGCACAAAGACATGATCTTAACAATCAAATCCGTAATTTATCGAGTTAAGTACGAATTCTCAAAATACTTTCTCATTCAGGATCAACTCGGACTATTTTTATCTCTCAAGGGCATTTTTGTAATTTCTTGACCCAATAATTTCGATATTAACTCTTAACGAAAAGAATTATAATTTAGAGATCCTATGGTTAATTGCTTTCCCGAACATTCTTTGTTCTCGAAATGATTCCTTAACAGACTTCTAGTATCTTGCATAAACCTTATTGGGTTAAAACCCGGTTATCCAAATTTTCTAAGCAAGCTAGCAGTTCTTATGCACATATGTAGTTTTATTAGATCAATATATCCTTTCAGAGATATTAATCAACTTCGAGGGACAATTCTTGTCATCTTACAACATAAGGGTATTTCCGTAATTTTACCCTATCGAAATATTCTCATAATTTCCCATCCAAGTATCTTTGATGAAATAAATTATATGTTACAGATCCAAGCTGATTCCTTTATCACTAAACTCAGAACTTGAAATTTTAATTCTAACAATCCATCAATTTCTTATAAAAGTCATCTGAACCATAATCAGTTATCGAATTTTTATCATATTCGAATCGAGTGTAGAAATTAATTAACTACACAAATGAGACCAATATTATCTTATTCATGCATTTACTAATATCAACATGTTCCATAAAGCATAAAGAGGTAGTAAATTATTACCTCGATTTTCGTGCAATACTGATCGACCATTAAATTCCCTTCGAATGCCCTCGATCTTTAACTTAACTTCCAATAATTTCTCGGATACATAACAACATAAATTTCATCAAAAACGGAGGTTAATTGCGAAAAAAGAATCGAATCGACTGATTAATCAATGAAAAACAACTTACCGGGTTTGAATTTGGCAAAACGGACCTCAAAATTGGAACATCAAGAAACCCAAAATATTATTCTTAAATTCCAGCTCACCAACTTGATTTCTAGCTTCCAATCTTTTTCTAACAAACGCGGATAATTTATCGTACAAATACGACTTCCAATAATTTTCCTTGCCATAATGGACTAAATTGATCTTGTAAAAACTATTATGTCATAACTATAACCACTAAAAAATAAGAGACAAGGTAAAGATCTCACCAAACTTGGATGTCATACCTTGTGGTTTACCCCTTTTTGCATGTTATCATCAATTCCCCCACAAGCCACGTGCATTATTTCATTCACAATTTCTTTTCCATTCATTTACTTAATCTTTAAAGCTTCAAGCGTGGAGTATTTTTCTGTCTCCGTATTGTTTCCGGCAAGCAATGGACCATCGGAATCCGAATGCTCTAAGTTAACAAAAGACGATTCCTCGGGTCTTGTAGAATATTTTACGGCTTCGTTGTTATGATCTTCTTGAACACCGGCGATTACGCCTATGTCAGAAAATGAGATGTTTCTTTTCTTCTTCTCTTTGTACGATTTGTTTATAGAGCATGGCTCGGTGTATAAACTTGCTTTTGGATCAAAATCTTTTTTCGTTGTATTAGATTATATATCATGAATGAGGCATAAGAAAGCGAAGCTATGGAGGGTCTCTAGCCAACATCGATCTGTCATACCTAAGTCTGCTGCCCCTAAGAGCTTCCTCAATCCAGAACCGGTCAAAAAGTCCAAGTGATGCATCAATTACCAGAAAGTGCACCACTCGGTTTCCATCGAGAGAGATGAAGTGGCAATACCATGCATGTAGACTCCTTGCACTACCTCTTTTCTCCTTCAAGAATCTCTCGGGAGAAATCCGTGTCCAAAGCAAACTCGACTGCATGCGAGACACTCATAGCTTCCGCTCCA